ACCGCATGTAGCCCTGCTGTGGCTCCCAATTGGCCTGTCAGTCATACACATATATATATATAAACAATGATGATATTCTTCTCCTGTGTTAGCTCATATTCTGAATGCAGTGACTGCCTAGTCATCCATATTCTCCTCAAACAAAACCTCCATCGGTCCAAGTATAAACAGGGGCTTGTTAGCATAATCATCACACAATCACATTCCTTGTCGGCATCGTGCTAGTAATTTATTCCGCCTGCTAGATCAAATCAGGTTTGTTCCGTAGTGGCTTCCATTGTCAGTTTTTATCAATTGCTGAATTCAGTGACATGTACCACCCTTTGACTCACCGGTCATTTCCCCATGTCCACATCATTAATTTAGAAATCATCCTTGTCTGTACACGGAATCTGGCGTCCCGATTATCAAATCCTCAACACTGGCGTAGATGCCCTGGGTATGCGTGCGCGCCACAGTGAGCAGGGGGTAACAACATGTACTGTACTGAAGTACTGTACTGGTAGTGGTATACTGCTGTACGTAGATGCCCTAGTCTACTGCTGTACGCCAGTACTGTACTGTACTGAAGTACTGGTAGTGGTATACTAACAGGGATGAATAGATAGGGTTTCCTTCTGAAAAGAAAAGAAAGAAAGAAGGACCGGATGGGTAATATGGTGGTCAATCCGTGGGCAAGGTGCAATTGTGGCTGTCGGTAGTTGGACCAGGCCATGGAAACGGCGGGTGGGGCCAGCCGGCCACGAGCCATGCATGCACAGTGCACAGTGCACAGTGCATGGCTAGTGGTGTGGTGGGTGTTCGCAATCTAAGCTGTACTGTTGTATGCAGGTCACCCGCTCCTTGGGCATTATGTGTGCATCCACTTAACACATTTGCAACTGCGCCCGAGGGCTGGGTTGGTCTCCGTCCTGTCCCCATCCATGCACATGGCGTGATGTTGGGGATTGTTCCCGTGGATCTCTCTTTCTCTCTTCTGCTCCGGTGTGCGACCAAGAGCGCGACTGCTCACGCCTCAGCGAGGCAATGTAGCGCAAATAACGCGTGCAGAACCGTGTCTGTCTCCATGCAATACAGACCTTTCTTTCTTTGAGCGTTTCACGCGCAAGCAGGCAGCTAGTAGTAGTTGCTTGCTGGTGAGCTGCTTTCGCTGTCCGGCCAGTTTAGCGCCCGGAAACAGATGGGCATGTTGGTTCCGGGCGATATGGCCGCGAGGCCAGATCAAATGGATCCACGAAAGCAACAATTCCCCTGTAGGCTCTCAAGATCAGAGGACCCATGCGTGCATGCTTGTTCCTCTCCGTGCATGCACAACAAGCGCATGCGACGAACAGCGTCACAGCGTCCGTGACAGCGACGAATGGACGAATAAATACGCACCGCCTTATTACTTCCGGTGTCTGGCGGTTCTCATTACACTAGCAGGCGCGCAGTGTTCGCCGATTTTGCCACATGAATGACGGGGCCGAGTTATTGGCTGTAGCTGTACGACGGCTAACTATCACTGCACTGCACGCCACAGTGCCGTAAGTGCGACCGCTCGCTCGCGCGCGTGCATTCAAACGGCCTGGCCCCGGTTCGGTCGAGCTTAAGTACGTACGTACGTACGTGCATCCATCTATCGATCGATCGATCACTGTGTCGTGCCGCAGAAAGTACCTGTCACCTTGCTGCGCGAGATCCGGCGGTCGTCCACGCATCAAACCGCGCTGGAATGTTCACAATGCCTCGCTTTAACTTAATCGGCGGTGGCGGTACTTGGATGAATGGATCGAGTTCTTAATAAGTCCTGCCGGAAGCTGCGCGCAGCATGCATGCAGCTGGTAAACGATCCGTGCGATGCGTACGGCGGACCCGATTTTACGCACCGTCCTGCCTCGCGTGCGGCATGTGCGCGCGCGGGCGGGCGTGCCCCGGAGACCGACAGCGAGGTGCTTTCTCCGCGCGGCGTATTAACGTAGGTACGTCCTACACGAGAGGGGAAGGGAAAATCTCCGGACGGATCGATGAGCAGGCGCATCCGCCAGAATTGCTAAACCTCCTTCCTACGGAGAATCGCCCCGCGTACCCTCC